TGGCCCGCTGAGTGCGCCCGCGCTCCGGCGCCGCCGCCGGCACCATGGGGTGCAATATGTGCGTGGTGCAGAAGCCAGAGGAACAGTACAAGGTGATGCTGCAGGTAGGGTCGTGGGCGGGGGTCCCAGCGGGCTGGGTGGCTGCGCGTGCTTGCGGGAGGCCGGCCCTGTGTGTGTGTGTGTGTGTGTGTGTGTGTGTACTTTCTGTGGGGACCCCGTGATCCGTCTAGAGAAATGTCCCGCACGGTGAGGACTGAGAGCGTCACAGCCGGGCGCACGGACAGGTGTGCGCTCAGTGACAGGGGTGCAACTCTGGACTGGGTGGTCAGGACCGGGAGCCAGTGCTGGGGCTCCCCAGATCGCGAGGAAACCCCTCCGGCTCCGCGGCCAGTAATGGGTGGCGGGAGGCCAGCCTTGTGTGCTGGCAGCCGCGCCGCTGATAGCAGGCAAAGCCAGTGGAACGGGACTCAGGACCAGGGTGGGCGCAAGGCCTTCTGCTACAGCACCCCCTCCCATGCTCCACAACCCCCAGATCCAGCTGTTTGGGACCCTTGCCTAGGCGATGGTCCTTTAGTGAGAGCAGGTTCTGGGACTGTGGGAGTAGGTGGACCGGGCTGTTGAAGGGACATGGGATTCAGTCTTAGGGCTTCCTTTCCTGTAATCATTCCATCAGATGACAAGGGGCTCCTTGGTGGCAGAGTCTCCTCACTTTCTTGGAGAGCGATTGGTGGAGGGCGTCATTTCAGACCAGCCTCCTGGGGCTGTGTGAATAAGAGGAGGGCCATGGAGCGGGGCCACAGGACTGAAATGAGCCATCAGTGGGAGGGGACACTGCCAGGGCTTGCCTTCAGGGAGGCTCAGTGTAGAGGAAGACTGAGGAAGACTGGGGAACCTGAGCAGGAGAATGCCAGTCTCCTCCCTATCCGCCTCCCCCCGCCCCCTTCTTCCATGAATGGACTTGGTAGGAGGTTGCAGGGAGGGACTGGCCAGCGGCCCTTGACACTCTTTGCTGACCTGCAGCCGCCACTGCTCCCCTTTATAGCTCCTGCTGAAGTTTGGACACAAACCTTGTTTTTCCTCATCCCCCTTGACACAAGCTGAGATGGGATGGAATTTTAAGAGGATCCATCTTGTAAAATGAAGGGACAACAAAAAGGGAAAGCCATTAGATGTCCCAGGTGACTCTGCTTCTGAAGTGACAGCGGATTCCTCAGTATCCCCAAACCTGGACCATCTCTGGGGAGAGAATGAAGCTCTTGTCCCGAAAAATACCAGTCCACTTCCCAGACCCTTGCCTGGGCCCCCTCTCCTTACCTCTGTCTCCCCTTGCACTGGCCTGCCTGTCCAAGAGCCCACCCAGATGGGATGCTCAAAGAGATGCCATTTATTGGTCTTGAGGTCTGTATCCCCTGCCCCCCATTTGTTTGTTGTTATTGTTGTGAAGTGCCATCAAGTCAATTCTGACCCATAGTGACCCTGTATAGGGTTTCCAAGGAGCAGCTGGTGAGCTTGAACCACCAACCTTGCAGTTCAAACGACTTTGCAGTCTGACTTTGCATTAGCCCACAGCACCACCCCAGGACTCCTGCCCCCAACTAAGAATCCCTAAATCTCTGTCCTAGCCTGGAGTTCCGGATTCTTTTCTCCTGGTGACTCATGGGCCCTTAAAAAACCCAAACAGCTTTGTTGAGCTATAATTCACACATGATTTATCCATTTGAAGAGTACAGTTCAGGCTTATTTTTAGTATATTCACACAGCTGTATGTATAACCGTCACCTTAATCCATTTTAGGACTCTTTTATCACCTGATAGCAGCCACTTCCCCTTTCTTGCTACCACCTCCCCAGCCCTAGACAACCACTATCTCTGCAGACTTGCCTGTTCTGGACAGCTTGTATCAATGGCATTATACAGTATAGCGTAGTTTTCATCCGGCTGCTTTCACTCAGCAGAATGTCTTCAGGGCTCATTCATGTTGCAGCATGGATCGGGACTTCATCTCTCCTTATGGCTGAGGATTTCTTTATCCATTCATCTGTTGGTGGACATTTGGGTTGCTGCCACCTCTAAGCTCTTGTGAACAGTGTTACGAACGTTCTTGTACAAGCTTTCCTTTGAAAACCTGTTTTAAATTCTTTTTGGTATATACCTAGGAGTGAAATTGCTGGGTCGTATGGTAATTCTATATTTAATCTTTTGAGGAAATGCCAAACTGTTTTCCAAAGAGGCTGTATGTACCATTTTCCATTCCCACTAGTAAAACACCAGACGTCTGTTGTCTCCACATCGTCATCAATACTTAGTTTCTTCCTGGTGTGGCACTACAGGATAATGCGCTGGACTGCAAGGTTGGTGGTTCAAACCTACCCAACTGCTCCTTGAAAACCCTCTACAGGGTCCCTATGAGTCAGAACCAACTCCATGGCACTTAACAACAACAACAACTGTCAGCCTAGTGGGGGTGAAGTAGTATCTCGTGGTTTTGAATTCCCTAATAACTAACGAGGCTAAAAAAAATTTTCAGGTCCTTGTTGTTGGTGGTGTGCTGTGGAGTCGGTTCTGACTCATAGCGACCCTGTACAGGGTTGCCGAGGTTGTAAATCTTTACTGGAGCAGAAAGCCTCATCTTTCTCCCACGGAACACCTGGTAGTTTTGAACTGCTGACCTTGCGGTTTGCAGCCCAACTCGTAACCACTACGCTACGAGAGCTCCTTCAGGTGCTTGTTAGGCACTGGTTTATCTTCTTTGGAGAAATGACTAACCAAAGCCTTGTCTATTTGATAATTGATTGTCTTTTGGTTGTTGAGTTGTAGGAAATGTTTACACATTCTTAATACTAGCTCTTTATCAGGTATTCACTTTGTAAATACTTTCTCCCATTCTCTTGGCTGGCTGTCTTTTCACTTTTTTGACAGTGTCCTTTGAAGTACAAGAGTTTTTTAGTTCAGTGATGTCCAATTTGTTTTTTTTTTTCTTTTGTTGCTTTTACATTTGATGTCTATATCTAAGTATCCTTTACCAAATCCAAGGTCATGAGGATTTACTTCTATGACTTTATGGATTTAGTTCTTATATTTAGGTCTTTCATCCATTTTGTCTTAGTTTCTGTAAACGGTGTGAGGTAGGGGTTCTACTTCATTCATTTGTATGTGGCGATCCAGTTGTCCCAGCACCATTTGTTGGAGAGACTGTTGTTTCACCATGGAACTGTTTTGGCATCCTTGCCTAAAATTAGTTGACGATAGATAATATGGTTTCATTTATCTCACTGGCTAGATGCCTGTCCTTTTGCCAGTAACACACTGTCTTGATTCCTGTAGCTTTGTGCATAAGTTTTGAAATTGAGATGTATGAGTTCTTAAACTTTTATTTCTTTTCCAAAATTGTTTGGACTATTCTGGTTCCCTTTGAGTTTCTACATCAATTTTAGGATTCGTTTGTAAATTCCTGTAAAGAAGCCAACTGGGATTTTGATAGGGATTGCATTGAATCTGTAGTGGGATTTTGATAGGGATTGCATTGAATCTGTAGTGCAATTTGTGGCATATTGACCATGAACATGGGATGTCTTTCCATTTGTTTTAGGTCTTGATTTTTTTCTCTCAGTGTTTTGTAGTTTTCAATGCTCATGTCTTACACTTTGTTATATTTATTCCTGAGTTCTCAACAACTGCAACACCATACATTTTAAGATTGATTCTTGAATATGTTGTTCTTTTTGATACTATTATCAGTGGAACTGTTTTCTTATTTTCATTTTTGTTTTGTTCATTGCTACTGTGTAGGAATACAGTTGGTTTTTGTTTAGTGTTCTCACATCCTACACCCTTACTGAAGTCACTTATTAGCTCTCATAGGTTCTTAGTAGATTCCTTGGGAGTCTCTCTATATAAGATCAAGTCATCTTCAAATAGAGATAGTTTTATATCTTCCTTTCAAATCTGGGGACGTTTTATTGAATTTCCTTGCCTAGTTGGCCTGGCTAGAACCTCCACTGTCTGTTGAATAGCAGTGGCAAGACCAGAATGCTTGTCGTGTTCCGAATCTTAGGAGAAAGCATTTGGTGTTTCACCATTAAATATGTTTTCTGTGGGCTTTTCCTGGACATCATGTATCAGATTGAGGAAGTCCCATTCTTGTCTTAGTTCGTTGGGTGTTTTAATCATGAGGGCTGTTGGAGTTTGTCAAATGCTTTTGGTGTTTCACTTGAGATGACCATGTCATTTGGGTCCTTTATTCTACTGGTAGGGTGTATCACAGAGTCCTGTCGTGGTGCTGGAGGGTCAGCACTGGATTGCTAACCCCAAAGTCGGTGGTTCAAACCCACCAGTGACTCCTCATAACCCTATACAGGATCACTGTGAGTTGGAACCAACTTGATGGCACTGAACAACAGCAATGGTGCATCACGGACACTTTAAATCCAACACCTAACCAAAGACTCAGGGCCAGGAGCCTTGGAAAATGAGAGGCGGCCCCTGCAAGAGGGGATGCCAACCCCAATCCCTCCACTAAGGTGTGGGGGGCATCGTGCCCAGAACCCCAAGGCACCAAACACCTCCAGAGCCTTTCCTGGTGTCCTCCGCTGGCTCTGTGTGCCTCCTCTCTGACATCGTGACTCCTTGCCGCATATCTGATCATGTCTCCCAGGGTAGTGAGCTTGTCCCTATGCCTTTTTGCCTTTCCCCTGCCAGACCAGTCATCTGAATTCTGGGGGTCCCCTTCTGACACTGTGACTCCTTGGCTCACAGTAGATTCTCAGTCAAACTTCCATGAACGAAGTTGGCTTCTCCTCACTCAGCTCTCTTCTCCCGCAACCCTTCCCCTCTGTCCACATCGGATGGGGCCCAATGCCATCTCCCCTTCCTTTCCAGTCATCACAGGTACTCATTCCTCTGCACAGATTTGCTGGGGACACAGTGGGGACACAGTAGGGGCACCACAGACAAGGGGTCTTAGCCAGCTAGTGCTGCTGTGACACATAGTGCCTGGCTCTGGAGACTGAAGTCCAGACCAGTCTGGGCTGAGTGGGTTCTTCCTTGGACAGCCTCACGTGTGTCTGTACTGCTCTTAGCAGAACTCAGAAGTGGTTCAGTGAGA